CCCCGTGACACACTCTCCCCCTTGAGACCTCCCCCGAGCTTACCCCTACAAGGTGAACCCCCACCCTTCCCTCCCCCCCCCCTCCCCCCTCCCCCACTGTGACCCGATGACCCCCATCCCCGTGGTACTTTCCCCTCCCCTCCCCCCCATTGAGACCCTGACCCCCTCCCCCTCCCCCCCCAATGTGACCCGGTGCCCCCTCCCTCCTCCGTGGTACTCCCCCCCCCCAGTGTGACCCCCCCCCGCGCCGAGCCGAAGATAGCTCCCGGTGATGAGAAAGAGAGCTTCTAGTAAGCCCCGTGACGTAAAAGAGGCTACTTCAAGACTCCGTGGGTTGGCTGCTTCTTCAAGCCGGTAGAGAATTACTGTGAACAAATGAAAGAAGACTTTTTTTTCTCTCTTTCTTTGTTATTTTCTTTCTTATTTTCTCACTTTATCTTCTTTCTCTTTCTTTCTCTCTCTTTCTTTTCTCTCCCACCCCTCTCTATCTCCCCTTCTGTCTCTCTGTCTCCCCTTCCCCCTCTCTGTTTTTTCCCTCCCCTCTGTCTCTCTCTCTCTCTCTCCCCCCTCTCTCTCTTTCTCTCTCTCTCCCTCTCCTCCCTCTCTCTCTTCATTTCTCTCTCTCTCTCTCCCTTCCTCTATGTCTCTCTTCATCTCACTTTTTATTTATTTTTTTTTTTCGACAACTGCTTTCCGACGGTGAGACGCCACAGCCGGGAGTACGTGTGTGTGTGCGTGCGTGCGTGCGTGCGTGTACTGCCGTGCGGGCCTGACCTGTTTGGCATAGCTCATCACTGGTGATATTTTGCGCTGTCTCTTCCTAAGGAGGCCGGTGAAAAACTGTTTTCTGTTTGTTCATTCTTTCTTGTCTTGTTCTTGTCTTGTTTTCTTTTTCTTTCTTTCCTTGTCTTGTTTTGTCTTGTTCTTGTCTTGTTTGTTTGTTTGTTTGTTTGTTTCTTTCGATTGTCCTTGTTTTATTTAGTTGTTTTATTTTTTTTGTCTTGTTTTCTGTCTTTCTTTATTTCGCTCGTCCTTGTTTTATTTATTTATTTATTTATTTTTTTTTTGGTGGGGTCGTTCGTTTTCTTTCTCTCTCTCATTCTCTTATTTCATTGTCTTTTCTCTTCTTTTCCTTTCTCTTCTATCCTCTATCTCTATCCTCTATTCCTCCTCCATTCCTCAACATCCTCTTACCTCCTAACCCTCCCTCCCACCTATTTCCTTATCCTCCTTCCCTCCCTCCCCTATGTACCTCCTTCCCTCTTTCCCCCTCCTCCCCTACCCTCCCTCCTTCCCCTTCCCCTTTCCCTCTCCCCCTCCCTTCCCTCTTCCCCTCCCTCTCTCCATTCATCCTCCCTCTTTCCCTCTCCCCCCTCCTCTCCTTCTCCCCTCCCTCCCCCCCTCCCTCCTCCCCTCTTAAATATAAGTGCAAGAGCGAGATTGAAAGCAAAAACAACACGTCATCATTGATCACTGAGATTTGACATGACAAGTGTCTCCAGAAGACATGAGAAAGTGACAAAGAACCGTCAGTGCGTGGAGATATTAAGAAGCGAAGGAAAGTGACATAACCTGAAAGTGATTTTTGTATTGCGCAACACTATGGCTTATAATGCTGATGATAATGGTTAAGAATTTTACTTATGTAACGTTATTAAGGTCAATGCTGTTACTTATGATAGCAATGATAAAAATAACAGTAACAATAGTGATAATAATGATAATGTTAAGCATTATAATGATAGTAATAGTAATGACAATAATAAATAATATAATAATAGTAATAATAATGATAATCATCTATATACTAATACTAATCCCCTTATAATGATAATAATAATGATAACAATAATCATTACAATAGTATTACTAATGATAACACTGATAATAATGATAGCAACAATGTTCATTATGGCAATAATAATCAGATTACATTAATAAGATTATCATAACAAAAATAATTTAAGCAAGAAATGGGTATAGAGGCTCTACTGGGAGCGATGCAGCTAAAACAAACATCAAATATCTTACAGCCTTCGTAACAACAGAGCTCATATCAATGATAATATTAATGAGATTACAGTAATGAGATTATTATAGTATAACCGATAAAAACGATAATTGAATACAAAACGTACTAAAGAAGACGGAGATAAGGCTAAAGCAAATATCAAAGGTTTTGGTGATTATCGTTTTCGTAATAAACGGTGAGTAATTCTGTAGTTTCACATACGTCACTGAGTTTAAAAAATGGTTTGAGGAATAGAGTGAGAAGAGAGGAATGAGGAAGGGGGAGGGTGAGGAAAGAGATAATGAGTAAAATGAGGAGCGAAAAGATAGGGGTTATCCTTCCCTCATTTCCTGTGAGGTAAGAGGGGAGAGTGGGGAGAGGGTGGGGGTGCGTGGGGAGAGGGAGGTGGAGGTGGATGAGGGGGTCGGGTGTGGGAGAAATGGGGGGGGGGGAGTAGGGAGAGAGGGTTTGAGTGCGAAGGAGGAGGAGGGAGAATGAGTGAGGGAAAGGGAGTTAGATGGAAGGTAGGGGGCGAGAGGAGAGGTAGCGAAAAAAGGGAGAGAGAGAGAGAGAGGGAAGGGGAATGGAAAAAAATGAAATAAAATGGAGGAGAGGGAGAAGAGGTGGTGAGGAAGGAAAGAATAGAAGAGACGGAGGGTGAGAGGTAGAAAGGGAGGGAGGAGGAGGGAGAGGAAAATGGGGAGATAAGAAAAGATGGGGAATAAGAGAGAGAGAGAGAGGGGAGAGGAAGAAGAAGAGGGAGAGAGGAGAATAGGGGAATATGATGTGAAAGAAGAAGAAAGTTAGAAGATAATAGAAGAACGCAGAAGAAGAAAACAGGAAGACGAACGAAGCAGAAGGAAAAGGAAAATACGAGAGACAGAAAAAGAGAAGAAGAATAAAGGAGAGGAACAAACAAAAGAAGAAAGAATGGAGGGAAGAAGAGAAGAAGAAGAAAAAAAGAAGAAGGAGAAACAATAAACGATTAGGGGAAGAGGATAAGAACCCGACAAGAGGGGATATGATCATTAGTCGGAAGTTCCCCTGAAATATCCCAAAAAAAGAAGAAAGCGCATACCTGGACCATGCCTTGTTGTCTAACCGTCCCTCCTCTCCCTCTCGCTTTATCTGTTTCGTTCGCTCACTTGTTTGTTTACTCTCCCTTCATCGGACTGGATGTTTGTTTGTCTGTGTCTGTCTGTCTCTCTGTCTGTGAGGAACACATACATACACACACACACACACACACACACACACGCGCACACACACACAGAGTGAAAGAGAGAGAGAGAGAGAGAGAGAGAGAGAGAGAGAGAAACTATCATTTAGCAATAAATGAAAGATCCCTGATTTGCCCATACCCTCTGCTTTCCCGATTGCAACATCAGATAAACAACGTATTACTGCAATATTGCAATTCTGTTGATGAAAATTCTATTTTCATCTGACTTTTACCTCGTTATCATCCTGTTTAATTACAACGAACCAATCGATATCTGATTACCTGAAACTGATAAAAACGTAACGTAATATTCATGGTTACGTAAGATCTGACGTAAACTCTATTACTGGACCTTTAGGCTTAACGAAATCATTATTTGTATGGCAGCAGCTGCTTCTTTTTATGTCATGGTGCGCTTTTTTTTGTGTTGCATAGTGATAATCAACGGTAATCATTAAGCTTATTAATGCACTGTATTTGCACACACACACACACACATACACACGCGCGCGCGCGCATATCATATATTTATAAATATCCTTCCTTGGAATCGCCTGTTTCGTCTACAGTTTAGTCAACGCCTGTTTAGCCTCGTTATGCAGTTTTAATGCGGTTGCATATTGAATTTTTAACACATTTGCGAATTCTTTTTTTTCGGAAACGTATGAAAGAAAGAATGAAACATCAGTGTTAAGAATACAGAATGCTTCGATCATTCGATTATGAAGTCTTTTTTTTATTGTTTTTTTTTTTTTTTTTTTTTTTTTTTTTTTTTTGCTCGTACCTCCGTAAAAAAGGAAAAAAAGAAAAAAGGGAAAAAACTATCATAACGGTAAATGAAAAAGTTGAAAATGAATATTCGAAACAACAGAACATTTAGAAAGTATCTTTATGGCTATTTCAAGCTGATTTTACTTCTATCTTTTGCAATGTCGGAGCACCGTCATTGGCGAAATTACAAGCGACGACATCGATAATATCACAAAATGATAGATTGTCAAAATGGTAATCTTTATGGGAAGAAGCTCACATTTACCAATTTTTGATCGGATCTCTCTCTCTCTCTCTCTCATACATATATACATTTTGTACCGCCAGCCCCTATATCCCAAAACATTAAACCATCTATGTATTTATCATTTTCAAGAAGTTGTTCTGGTTCAACTTACCTCTCTTTGGCAGCACCGCAAAAGTCACGTGTGTCGTGGTAGTCAGAAGCTCCCTAAACCAACAAAAAATCTGGGAGTTTCACGGTTTCAAGGTAGTATTTTGGATCGCCCGGGTATGGCTGTGACGTCGGTACTTCTTCGCTCCTCGGATCTCGTGACATCAACCTTGGGCTTATTACTCCATATTCCCGTCTTCCATTGTCTCAAAATCTCCCGTATGAACTTGTAGAAAAAGAAAAAGGTCTTTTGATAGGATGAGACCCACTCTATGAACTGGTCTTTTAAAATGATGCGTTTTGGTTATTACGGATACAAAATACTTCGATTATTCGATTAAGATTTTTGTTTTAATTGTTTTTTATTACTCATACCTCTGTAAATAGATATCATAACGGTAGATGGAAAAGGTGAAAATATATATTCAAAACAACAGAATATTTAGAAAGAATCTGGCTATTTTGTGCTGATTTTATTCTCATCTTTTGCAGTGTCGGAGCACCGTCACTGGCCAAGTCACAGCGAATCTCTTGACATCAACCTTGACCTTATTACTCCAAATTACTGTTTTCCATTGCCTCAAGACCCACTCTATGAACTTGTAGAAAAAAAATCGGTCTTTTGATATGATCCTTTTTATTTAAAATCGGTTTCTTCCGAGCCACACACCGCTTGTACCCCGAGTCCCCGTGGAGGTATTCGAGAAACAATTCTATCCCGCAACATACCAAACAATCTTGGATTAATTTCCTTCAACTGTCTTGAAGAAGGAAAAAAAACCTCCCCCGATGGCTATTGCACAATCCTCAGGACAGGAAGAAACCCGTTGTGGTCTTCCAAGACACTTTTTTTCCGACGGCAGGAATCTCAAAACTTCGAGAGAGGTCTTTGTCCCTCTCCTCTGGCTGTCTCGATTCGCTGCTTTATTTCATCACGAACCGCATTCGTGTTGACAGATGTAGAAAGAGGTATGAATGAGAAGGAATATTTTTCACAATGCAAGTGTTTCTGACGAAGATGTAGTCGAAACCGGTCTAATACATCTTTTGTATTGTGAAGATAGTCATTCTCTTTCATACGTTTTCTCCTCATTTCAAAGTCTTTTCGTTCCTTTCCATCACGAATTACCGCTGGGTCTCAAAAGAAAAGAAAGAAAGAAAAGAATTAAAAAAAAAAAAAAAGAAAGAAAGGAAAGAAAAGAAAGAAAGAAAGAAAAGAAAGAAAGAAAGGAAAGAAAAAGAAAGAAAAGAAAAGAAAAAAGAAAAGGAAAAGAAAGAAAAGAAAGAAAAAAAAAAAAAGAAAAAAATAGAATAGAATAAAATAAAATAAAAGAAAAAAAAAGAAAGAAAAAAGAAAAAGAAAAGAAACGAAGAAAAAGAAAGAAAGAAAGAAAATCAAAAGAAAAAGAAAGAAAAAGAAAAAACGAAGGCATTTGGGGAAAAGTTTCAACGAGAAAGGACTAATTGATCTACGCGAGAGAAAACTGCGCGAAACAGTGATTCGTTTTTCTTTTTTTTTTTTTTTTTCTTTTTTGTTTGTTGCTCGCCTCTTCCCTTCCCCTTCCAAGAAACACTGACTTTTAACAGTGGTCTAACGAAGGCCTATTAACTTAGCTATTAAATTTTCAAAAAAAAAAAAAAAAAAAAAGATAATGATAATCAAGATAATTCTCCTTTTCTACATTCCCCCTCGCTCAAAAAAAAAAAAAAAAAAAAAAAAAAAAAAGTCAGAAAGGATATCTAATCCATCCTTAGATAATCACACAAAAGGTATTACCTTCTTCGTTATCCCATGAATTATCAGAAGACGAAGACGAAGAAGATGAGAATGGGGGGCTAGGGGATAGAGGAAGTGGGGGGGACTCTCTCATTCTTGAAATATAATGCTATTTCCCATTTCCGAAACCATCAATAGGGTTGTCAGCTTAATTCCGAGTTCCATAATGGAAGTGGGCGTTTTTTTACACTACGTTCCAGTCAGGTGGGTTGTATTAGACCGCGTGAATGGTCTCTGGGCATGGCATTTTGATTCAAAATTTTGCTGAGGTCCTAAAGGGGATTTTTTTCTGGATGTAAACCTGGGTCAGGTAGATAGATAGACAGGGAGATAGATAGATAGATGGATAGACAGATGATTAGATATATAGGTAGGTAGATAGATAGATAATGGATAAACATATGATTAGATAGATAAGTAGGTAGATAGATAGATAGATGGATAGATGAATAGATAAATAGATAGATAGAAAGATAGATAGATAGATGGATAGATGGATAAATAGATAGATAGATAGATAGATAGATAGATAGATAGATAGATAGATAGATAGATAGATAGATAGATAGATAGATAGATAGATAGATAGATAGATAGATGGATGGATGGATGAATGGATGGACAGATAGAGAGATAAAATAACAGACAGACAGATAAACAAACAAACAGACAGACAAACAGACTGACAGAAACAAAGACAAAAGGCAGATACACAGAGGAAGAGACAGAGACAGAGACAAAGAAAAGAGAGATACGGAGAGAGAATCAAGGGAAGAAGGGAAGAGCTCAAAGAAGAAGCAGAGATAATGAAAATCACGAGCATTAATCTCGTGCTCTCTAGTCTCATCCCGAACCGCCCACACGCCCGCCCGCGTCAAGACCATTTGTGAATAATATTAAACCGTGTCCCCGACTCGTGCGTTTCCTTAACACCTGCTGCTGGCCTTAAAGATATGTGATCACGCACACGCACACACATACACGCACGCACCCACGCAGGCACTCATGCACGCACTCAACGCCTGCACACACACACCACGCACACGCACACGCACACACAACACACACATATACATATATGTAATGTTTTGGCTTGGGTTTGGTGCCATTTCGACTTTTGGATTTATTTTCTTCCCTCCTTCCTCCTTTCTCTTCTCTCTCCCTCCCTCCTCCCCTCTCCCTCCTCCCTTCTCCTCTTCTTCTCTCTTCCTCCCCTCCCTCTCCTCTCTCCCTCCTTCCTCCCTTCCCCCCCCCTCCCCTCTCTCTCTTTCTCCTGCCCCCCCTCTTCTTCTCTCTCTCCTTCCTCCTCCCTTCCCTCTCCTCCTTCCTCTCTCTTCCTCCCCTCCCTCTCCCTCTCCTTCCTTCTCTCCCCCCTCTATCATACGAGACCAACTCCGGCTAATCAATCGAACGCAACTTCTTCTTCACAAGGGAGAGGTTTTCTTGGCTTTGAGATCAAAAGCGCCCGAGTCCCTCCACTTCTCTCTCCTCCCTCCTCCTTCTCCTTCTTCCTCTTCTCTTTTTTTTTTTTGGATTATTCTTATTCTTTTCATTTCTTTCTCTTTTTTATTCTTAGTTGCTGGTTTTTTTTCTATTTTTCCTTTCCTCTTGTGTTGTTTTTTTTTTACTCAATTTCTCTTTCTTTCTCCTATTTTTTTTTTCTTCTCTTTTTTGCCTTTGTTTTTATTTTCGGTTTTGTCTTCGTTTTGGAAGGAGGAGAGAAGGAAGAAGTAAAGAAGTAGAATAAAAAGAATGAAGAAAAAATGAAGAAGGAAATGAGACCGAATGAAGGAAAAATATAGATGGAAAGAAGGAAGCTATATGAAGGAAGAAGGAAGAAAATAAATAAACCGAATGAAAGAAGAATGAAGGAAAGCGAATGAAGAAATAACGAAGGAAGGAAGACTGACGGAATAATGAAAGAAGAAAGAAAAGAAAGCAACCGAACGAAGGAGTAACGAGAGAAAGCAGAATGAAGGGATGAAAGAAGAAAATAAGGAAGCCGAACGAAGGAATAACGAAGGAAGGAAGAATGAAAGAAGAAAGAAAACAAAGCAACCAAACGAAGGAATAGCGAAGAATAAAATACGAATAACCGAAGGAATAACTACGGAAGAAGGAATAAACTACGGAATAACCGAAGGAATAAACTACGGAATAACCGAAGGAATAACGAAGAAATAACCGAAGGAATAAACTACGGAATAACCGAAGAAATAAACGACGGGAATAACCGAAGAAATAACTACGGAAGAAGGAAAACTAAACCGAAGGAGGGAATCGGAATAACCGAAGGAATAACCGAAGGAATAACGCAAGCAGAGAGGAGGACATCCCAGCTCAGCGCTATCTCTTCGCCTCGGGTTCCCTCGCGAGGCTATTTCAATTTTTTACTCTCATTGCGTTTAAGCTGCTGGAAAATTGGAGAAGCAAAGAATCGGACATATGGCTCGAGTCGTAGGGAAAGGAGGGGAGGGGAGGGGGGAGGGGGAGGAGGGGAGGGAGGGGGTGGAGGGGGGGGGTGGATGGGAGGGGGGAGGGGTGGAGGATGGGTGGAGGAGGGAGGAGGAGGAGGAGGAGGGGGAGGTGGGAGGGGGTGGGAGGGGGGAGGGGGTGGAGGAGGAGGGGTGGAGGAGGAGGAGGATGGGAGGAGGGAGGGGAGGATGGGGAGGGGAGGAGGAGGGAATAATAGGGAGAGGTGGAGGATGAGGGAGGAATGATAAGGTGGGTGGAGGGAGGAGGGAGGAGGGGAGGGAGGGGGAAGGTAGGGGAGTAAGGGTGGGAGGAGGAAGGGGGGAAGGAGGAGGAGGGAGGAATATAGGGGGAGGGGGAAGGAGAGGAATAATAGGGGGTGGGAAGTAGGGTTGGGAGAGGGGGGTGAGGGTAGAGAAAAGAGGGGGAGAGGGCGGGAGGTGTACAGCAGAGATAAAAAGGTAGAAGAAGAGTAGAATAGAGAAATGAGAAGAGGGAAGGAGGAAATAAGAAGAAGGTTCGAAAGGGAAGTAAAGGAACGAGGAAAAGAAAGAAGGAAAAAAGAAAAATGCTGAAATGAAGAAAAGGTGGAGGAACGAAAAGATAAAAAACAAAGTTAAAAAAGCAAGAAAAAAGTAAAAAAGAAGAAAGAGGAAAAAAACGAACGAGGAAGAAAAGGGGAGAGACAAGGGAGAAAAGAGAATAGGGAGAGAAAAGGGAAATAGAAAAAGAAAAAGAAAAGGGAAGAAGAAAAGGAAAAAAGAGAAAGGAAAAGAAAAGGAAGAAAAGTAAGGAAAAGGAAAAGGAAAAGAAAAAGGAAAAAGGAAAAGGAAAAGAAAAGAGAGAAAAGGAATAAGGAAAAGGAAAAAAAGGGAAAAGAAAAGGTTGAAAAAGAGGAAAAAAAGAAAAGGGAGAAAAGAAAAATGAAGAAAGAGAAAAGGGACAGAAAAGGGGAAGAGAAAAGGAAGAGAAAGGGAAAAGGGAAGGAAGAAGGGGGAAGGATTTATCGTCTCCAACTGATTCCCCGCTTCTCACACGCTCCCGGATCCCGAGGAGCCTGCGAGGGAGATTAGGAGTTATGGCGGGGGAGGGAGGGGGGGGAGGAGGGAAGAGAGGAGGAGAGTGAGAGAGGAAGGGGAGGGGAGGCAGGGAGGAAGGGAGCGGGGACTACGATTGCTTTCGCTTCTTTTTTATGGGGTTAGGGGTCAGGGGGAGGTTGGAGGGTCGGGGGAGGTTGGGTTTGGGTTGGGGTCGGGGGGTTGGGTCAGGTCAGGGGTCGGGGCTTGGGAGTTGATAGTGGTTAGGGGTCTGTGGCAAGTTGGGGTCAATGAGAAGTGGGAATTGATAGGAAGA